TATTCTATACAGTGAAACAAAACAAATATGGTGGGAACTGAAACTATACCTTCAGAAAAGGTCTTCTGATGGAACAGGAAATTGTTTCACATCAAACCTGTAGTCCAAATCAATTGTTAGGTTAATGCTCATTCAACATCACACACGAGATGGGGCACATCAGAAATAGCAAGCGTACCGGTATGTTGCAATTCGGAGGAGGAGCCTCGGCGGAGGAAGGGGGCTGTTCATATCTCAATCCCGTGTATCACTCCAGTTGTCAATGGCGGCTCCGGCGCAGCGCCGCGGGACGGAGGCGCCTGTGGATACTGCAGCGAGCCGGCGGCGAGCTGTGAGATGGATGAAGGGGGTGCGCCGGGCTGCACGGCTCACGGGCGGAGGTGACGATGGTTGGGCGGCGCCGCCGACGCGCAGGTTGTGGAGGAGCGATGGCGGCGCCGATGGTGGCGGAGGGAGGCAGGAAGAGGCGTGGAGAGGGAGCCGAGCGGCGAGGCAGCGTTGCGAGGGTTTGAAGAGGGTGGAGCAGCGACGGCAAGGTGAAAATCGGCACGGCGGTGCGGTTGAGGAGCGGCGCCGTGGTGGACCGGTGGGGGTGGGGATCGCTTCAGATGGACTGGGCTGGATATGGGCTCGAAAATCTTTGGACGAAATTACCCCTCGCTGATGATAATTAAGTGCTAATCTCGCTTCTAATCACAGCCGCTGATTAGCTTTAACTTTCGTGCAAGTTTTTTTTTGCGGAGCATAGAAGCACATCCCTTGTTGTTTTTGTTACAATTTATAGAAGTTGAATTTTAACTTGTATGTTTGTGGAGTGATATATTACATATTGATCTATCTTGTCATTTTTTTAAAAAAATTATAACTATTTAGATGACATGCATTAAACGGGTGGACATCCACTCGAGTGATTAAAAGAGTTTCCCCTTGTTACTCCTATATTACATCCTGCAGCTGTATAAAAGGACTATGAGCCAAGAGATATGCAAATAGAAAGAAAGAGATCGAGAGAGATGTCATATACTCCCTCCGTTTCATAATGTAAGACTTTCTAACACTGCCCACATTCATATAGATGTTAATGAATCTAGATATATACGTTCTCGCTCTTGTATGTGTATATATATCATGGAAGGCCGGGGATACTTCCTCATCAAACTAAATTGAGTTGACAGAGAACACAGAAATTGGTATAAAGCTGACCTCATCACTCTTCTCAACCATGGTTAAGAACCTAGCTATTTCCCTAGCCTTCTCTCAGCAGAAAACTAGCTAGCTAGCTTAGTTGCATCCTGCAGCTATAAAACGACATCTATGAGATAATTAGCAGGATGAAAGTAGAAAGAAAGGGATGATCGAGAGATTACATATATATATATATATATATACATATATACATATATACATATATACATATATACATATATATACATATATACATATACATATACACACACACATATATATGCACAAGTTTGACGATGGTGCATATATGCAGTCCGCTCTTCTGAACTTTCATCTTGTTAGATGGATGAGAAAGAAATGGTAGGCATCAGGATGGCAGATCAGTGAGCCAAATCCATCCCCAGTGAAATGAAGATGTCTTTCTCTTCTCAGATGGATCATTCTAGTACTGACGATGAACAGATCTGCAGAAACTGAAACAACATTGTCCAGTTGCAGCGGGATGTTCACACTCCACAAAGCCTTCACACTTCATAGTCTCCGCGGTAGCAAACTTTGCCTCCGTTGCAAGGATCCATTGACATGCTCGGTTCTTCTGAAATTGGCTGACTAGTGAGTACTGGATTGCAGAGCACTGATGATGGTCATTCAGAAGAACTGATTTTCCAAGAGTCACATGCCTACAACAGCATCGATCGGCTGCGGATGTAATGTTTTGCACTTTTAAGTTCACTACCAAGATTTTAAGGGTCAGTCTACAGTTCTTCACTATACCTCTGTGAAGGACTGAAGGGAAACTGTGATTAGTTTCAGTTTACCTCTGTGAAGTGATAGGTTCGCATATTAATTCTATTACAAAGCTCCTTATCAGAAAAAAATAATAATACACCCCCCTGTCAATAACAGTATTGGACTATAACGGCCTTGCCTCCGTCTTCTTGATGCCCTTTTGTTTCATAATATAAGAGATTAGATAGTAATATACTATTTACAGCACAAATAATTTGCCTGTTGAATTCAGAGATATCATAAATCCGAGATACCATGTAACTAATTAAGATGTCCCTGTAGCTACCATGGCTTTGGATAGTGGCAGTATACGGTACAGGGTGTATTAAATTAAATCAGCATAACATCCTAGGAGTAGGATTATCCCCCAAAATACATAATTAATGTTTGTGTGCACAAGATTTAAATCCTAGTGGGTGAAGTCATGCATCACCATACCACTAGTACTTTATTATTGCTAGAGCCAACGGAAAATCACCAGATCTCTGGTTTGCCTCATGCAACTATTTATATAAAAGGAGCATCAGGCCAAAAGAGATGCAAGTGGAAATAAAGGGAGATATATTCTTTCATTTTTGAAGGAAATTTGATGGCTCTGTGTCTTTTAAAGTTATAACTTGTTGGATGAATGAGAAAGGAATGGAAGGTATCAGGTTGACGTCCAGAACACTGTTTGCTGGATGTTTATTGGTTGTATAAAGTGATCAATTGACGGCACAAGAAACATGCCTGATCTGAAGAAGTGACAAGCTAGTAGGGGACACCTTGCATGCATTGTTGCCAAGCGGTTTCTCGTCCTGTATGATGGAATCCAATCCGTTTGTTTGAAATTATTCCATCTTCAATACATTTCAATCAATGGTGGAGCCAAAAATTTCTTTAAGCCTAGGGCACAATTAATGCAATTTTTATAGGCTTATCTTTTATCTTCTGATCTTTTAAAATGTGGAGTGTTATTTTAATGGGTATTTAGGGCCAAGAGTAGAGCTCTAGCCATAGTTGCCTTACTCCCGGTTCCGCCCCTGCATTCGATGTATATCTGTAGAAAATAAATCAACGATTCAACTCAGTCATATATATACTACCTGGACCAAATAGCTGAATATTCTATATGAACTCCTCAAAATAAGCATATGTGAATGGTATATATGACATACAAATCTACAGGCAATGAGATTGGTTGTGGAAGGTTGTGGTGAGCTGCAATTTTGCTATCCACCAATCTGTTCAATCAATCAATTTAGTACACGATATTATCGAATTCATATATGTACATTGGATCGCCATTGGTAATGGCCTATTTTTGCATCGCCCTAGACCTGGATGCATGGTGATAGGAGGTATCGGAGATGACAGGACATAGATTAACAAAAGTTGTTCTTGAGATATCACAAGAGGGGTGATCCTTGTACCTTGAGCAGTGCCTGTTCCCGAGTGCATTCAAGATGCAGAGTGAAGGACGTGAGCTTGTATAGTACTATGTGGTTTACTTCTAATGATGAATGGATAATGGACACTAGCTGTCATGTAAATTTACTCGAAGGCTTCAAAAACAAGGTCCATTGGGTAATTCAAAAGCATTAACATTAAATTGAAATACTACTTGATAGAACAAAAACAAGAACAAAGTCTTGTGTAGCTCTTTTTTTTTTATTTTATTTTGCTCTTGAGTTGTACTCCCTCCAGTCAATATGACAATTTAGACAACACAAAACAATTACATGCAGGTAAAATAGTTGGTCTGAAACGTCATGTGGATTTTTTTTAAAAAATATATATATAAAGGTCAAAATCTGCTAATTTATCTTATTTTATTGTGTTTAAATCGTCTTCATGGAGGTTTAAACAGTAGGTTTCACTTAAAAAGATTGAGTTGTTATAAGGTACCCCGACCACGAAAGAGTTTTTTTTTTCTCACCATTTTTGCGTGCTGGAGTTTTCAAAGTTTGCATGCTTTTTGGACTTCGATGGGAACACAATAATTACTTAATCCAATGAAGAGATCGTTGGTGAAAAAATTGTAGTAGTGCAGTTTGACCCTAGGTAGAATTGCTTCTGTCTTTACCTAACATCCTTAATTGCTTCTGTCTTTACCTAACAATAACTAGATGCCTACATCCAAAATTGTCATGACGCCATGACAGCTCTCCTTTGCACAAGAAAAGAAAAAAAGAAAACATCTTGAGATCCAAAAAGCAGAACTTTGCATCCTTTGCCTATAAAATACGTATCTAGGAATACATACCATAGTTTGAAGAAAAACAAGATATTACATGGATAGAACCTCCAAAAAAAATTTTCAGTGGTAATGTAAAGGGGGAATGAAAGGTATCAAGAATTTGGATCCCTCTTCACGATGTCTTCATTTTTAGCCGGTCGATCATGCTTGAATTAAGATGGTTTGATGAAGTGCCATGGCTTGGGTCTCATCATCTCTCTCTAGCTAAATTTTGTGTGCATACATGGTTCTGATCCATCTTCTGTGGCCAACAAGCTAGAGCTGAGGGGTTCTATGCAATATCCTTGGATCTTGATTATGGGGATGGACAAAAATGTGAGGGAAGAAAGGATCTTGCTTAATGAGTGACTGGTGCAGAGGCCCAAGTCATCACCAATATGCTCCAAATTGCTGAGGTTGGGCAATTTTCTTTGGTTCGCATGCACCGTACAAGTTATTATTTCACCGCTGCTCGTTCATTTCTGTGTAGATGCAAGGTGTACTTGTACCCACCTGGTTAACTCCCAAATTTTTATATCATGAATATAATTGGATCTTATATTGCGGCTGATCACTAGTGGTGATTGCTCACAGCAATTTAAATGGTTGTGCTGGTTAATTACTACTGTTCGTGAATTAGTTAATTGATCGAGTAATATTTCACATATTACTGCTATTCTAGTACACTGGTGGTGACCTATTGCTGATGAGACAATTTTGGAGAGGTGCTAAATTGGTTGCAGTTTGGACTAATGGTTCTATATAAGCATATCAATTTTTTGTTACTATTATTAATTTAACTTTTACAATCCAAATAATTACTACCTACAATATATCATCAAATTCATATCTGTAAATTATCAGTAGTTACTGTTAATTTGAGGAATCTCATAAAACCGTCGATGCCAGAAATTAAATTGAGTCAGAGAGTACAGCCATATTGGTACAAAGCCTCACTACCTAGCTTCTTCTCTCTAGTCAAGATCAGCTAGTTTGCTCCTTACATCCTGCATTGCAGCTGTAGTCTGTAGAGCAGTATGAGCTAGCCAAGAGAGTTGCACATAGAAAGGAAAGAATTGAGAGAAATGTTGTCACATATAATTATTATGAAGTTTGATAGCTGTACACTTTCTCTCTTGTACACTTTCATTTCACGTGTCTAAATGCATGAGAAATCTGGAAATGGTGGGCATTAGGATGGCCGAACACCGCCTCATGGCCACCGCAACAACGACGTCGAAGCCTCTCGTTTGTGGCTTCGCTTGCATAGTTGCTGTATCTTTCTGAGTACTAAGTTCTATTTGTTGGAATCAAACCGAATACTTGAGATAATCTATATTCCATTTGTGGGAGATTTTTTTTTCGCATTGTCATATTATATCGAATGTATGTTTATAAAAAAAAAAACAATGGTTTGACTTGACCATATATAATCCCTGAACAAAATATCATTTTACTCCTCAAATTGGAAGCATATACATTCGTGATATCAAATGAGATGAGTTCCCGGGCCTCGCGTTGTGAAGCCCTCTGTAAATAACATTTTGTATTTTTCTTTCCTACTCTATCAATATATACGAGGCAATGCTTTTGCCTTCTTTTTAAAGAAAGAAAGAAAGAAATGAGACGAGTTGAGAAAGGTAACTTGAGCAGCAATTTGATTATCCATCTGTTCGATAAAGTAGAGAACATCTCATGTTCCAACAATGTCTTTTTTAAGTCAAATTTCAGTGGATGGAAAGACTATATTTGTAGTAATTTCGCAACTATTAAGTGGGTAATGAATTCTTCAAGTTAGGAGGATTATCTTTAGCTTACACAGATGCTTCACCGTCAATTGTAAAATTACAAGATGTCCTAGGTATGAAATTTGATTACGATCGACTTTAATATATTCATGAAACGTTTATATTTAGTAACGGAGGGAGTATGCCATTAAAATATAACAATCACAATTTATTAGTTATAGGTCTAGTTATCTCCTCGTAAAATTATTGACGCTAGATATTAAATTGAGTCAGGGAATACATAAAAATTGTTATAAAAGCCTCGTATCATGACTAGCTGTTGTAGAAGCCTTCTCTCAGTCAAGACTGGCTGCTAGTTACTCCCTCCGTCCCAAAATATAAGAACTTATGACCAGATTAGACATTTCGTAGTACTAGTACTAGCAAATATCCCATCCGATTTTAGGTTCTTATATTTTGGGAGGGACGGAATATGCAAATAAAAAGGAAAGGGATCGATGATTGAGAGAGAGAGGGAGAGAGAGAGATGCTGCCATAGATATGAACAAATTTGGTAGCTCTGCGTACGTTCTTGTTGTAAACTTCCATTGAACTCTTTAGACGATCGATAAATATGCATGAGAAAGTGGGAATGGTAGGCATCAGGGTGGTGAAACACATAAGAAAATTCCATAGGAGCGCCGGCGGCAGCGGTTGCAGCCGCATCAGCACAAAGCTGGTGCCTGTGTCAATTAATGGCGAGGAGTGATTTAAGGGGATTAGATGGTAGTATGAAGCAACCATGAACTATTCAGAATCTTTGCTTAATCATACTCTCACAAACACAAATCAGTACTCTGTAGGAAAAAAAATGATCTAAACACGTCTACGCCTAAAACAGTACTTTGTAAGAACATAAATCAGTCTTTCCGGCAATATCGTGCAATTGAGACTGTTTTTTTCCTTTGCTCTTTTTTATATTTGCTCTCGCTCTTATCCATAGGCCACACCTCTGTTTTTTCCGTCCTCCGCCACTGCCTGCAAGACAACCACCTTTCCCAGGAGCATGGAGCAGCACCAAGGTAGACGACACCGGCAAGTAAATTTCTTTGTGCCCATGCTCATCTCCTGCTCGATTAAATGCTCCTTTACGGTTCTTTTGTTCAATCAATAATTTGTGATCATCCTGTTGCAGCTACCCTGTTAGAACAGGCTTGGAGTACTGCAATGCAAGGTCCTGTCATAATGCTCCAGGTTAATTCTCCTGTCTCACTCTACTGAAACAATTTCTGTGTCCACATTTCTAATTTGTTTGGACCATAAACAACCTGGTCATGGCATGTTAAGAGGTAGCGGGAAATCGATAGCGATATCATTGCTTCAGAGGTTCTATGATCCGAATGTAGGCCATATACTTCTAGATGGAGTGGACATTCAAAAGTTTCAGCTAAGGTGGCTAAGGCAACAGATGGGTCTGGTGAGCCAAGAACCAGCTCTGTTCAATGACACGATTCGCGCAAACATCGCATATGGGAAGCAAGGGGAGGTGATAGAATCAGACATCGTATGTGCCGCACCATTGGTGAATGCACACAAGTTCATCAGCTCATTGCATCAGGTGAAATTCAAATTCAGCTCACCCTCAATCATTGAGACATGGTGTTCATGTTTTCCGACAGAAAATGTGTCACCTGAAGAAACAAAATGCAGGGATATGGAACCATGGTCGGGGAGCGTGGAGCTCAGCTATCATATCAACCTTAGGTTGTGTATGTTAGATGGTGTTGGGAGCAAATCTCTCGCACAAGCAAAACGATGCGACTCATTAGTGCATGATTAATTGAGTATTAGCTTTTCTTTTAAAAAAATGAATTAATATAATTTTTAATTCATGCAACACTTGGAGCTACATCTAAGCAAAAGTAACAGAACACCATCAACTTTCAGTCTTGAAGGACCTCAAAACCTTACTATGTTTAACTACTAGCAAACTGAATCCATCCAAAGAAAGCATTATAAATCTATTACTCTGTACAGTGAAGCAGAGAAAGCATGTACTAATAAACACAGCTAACCATGAGAATCCAAATAAGTACAAATATTCAAGCGATGAACACATTATCACGCATGAAAAATGATACAATGCTTAGGTTTAGGTAAATATAATTCGACATATCTTCTCATAGCTGAGTTTATGTTGTTCAGTTAGTAGTATTGTATTTCACACAGAGAAATACACACGAACACACACAAAAGAAAGAAAAGCTAGAAATGACATATTTGAGCTAGTTTTAGAGAAGTGCCTTGTAGTGTTGGCTCCGCATCGTCAGCCACAAACCGGCGGTGTAGCTTGTTCAGTTAGTTGAACGAGAAAATACCGATGGTGAAGTCATGGAGGGCCGTTCGAAAACCTAGAGTTTGGAGGTACCCTCAGGTGCCTCCCGAATCTGAAGCTATATATCGCGCAAACCTTGAGCATGCAAAGACCCTAGCAGAATACCGCCCATGTCAAAACGGCCTTGCCATCCCACTCGGGATGAGTGGTAGTTGTTCTGCACAACTGTTTCGTTTTCTCGCTACCTCCTATCCCTACATGTGTATTATTTCATTTTTTTTCTGTTCAGATAACTAGTGTTAATTTCTATCAACAGCAGAGCTCACAACCACTAAACAATGTTTTATATGTTTTACAACCACAAGCTAGGAAAATCAACTGTTGATAGAAAGAAAAAAGAACTAGACCATATACATTGTTTTGGTAGTATGTTTCACGCGATCGAAATCCTTCGGGATAGCTCAGTAGATTGATGATGCATGATTCTTTTCACAATTCATACATGCTTTTACTTCTCATTTGCTTCCTTAGGAAAAACAGATTTTATCAGACAGATCACTATACATATGATGGCCCCGTGGCAATGCTAGCTACAACTTTGAACTTGTGCACCAGAAACTAATTAACTGATACCCAAAACCGAAACTTTTAGCGGAATTAAGTTACCCTCGATTCGATGTAGATCGGTCTGACCGGAGTAGATCCGCCGGTTTGATCGATCATCTTCAAAAACCACTTCGCCAATAATCTCCAAATATCAACACCAATAATCTCAGATGCCAATTGTTCATAACAGAATAAGAATTAAACACACTTTGATTTTACACATATCAGATGCAAAATTAGTTAGCTACTTTTATTTTCATTAAGGTCATTCAACTCAAGAGCAACCAACCAAAGGTAGAAGTGTAACTTAGTAGTGTAGATATACACATATCGTTCATTACATTCTATTGGTAAGATTGTTACTATCAGAAGATACAAGTTAACAGCTCAATCGAGTTTATTGCAGGACATACACTTTCTATCCTTTAGTATAGAAACATCAGTGGGGCTCCATCATGGAAATTTTGGAAAATAAATAGCATATTATTATTAGCTGATAGCTGAATAAAAATATTACATTGCGGAGAAGATGGTTGGTACAGAACTTTATATTGTCTGCATTAGGGTGGTTTAAGGAATAGCCATGCATTTGGTCCCATTCAGGTATGTAGCTTAATTAGACAATGGTTGTCATAATTTTTCTGTGTCCAAACAACAATTGGGGCAACAGGCGTCAAATTTGCAAGCTAGGATCAGAGAAGTAAGAAGGCACCAAAGTATAAAGAAAGAAAGGGAGAGATATGCTGTCATATGGAGTTTGATGACTCTTTGTGTTGGATGAATGATAAATTAAGGAATGGAAGGCATTGGGATGGCAAAACACTACCTACAATACAAGCGCTGTACGTAATGCCAATTGCAGATATGTAGTGACTGAAGAACGAACATGTCCAATTGGAAAGGGCTACGGTCACGGACATAAATTAATCTGTCCCAAGATTTGTCACCATGAGCTTTTGGGTTTTCTTGCCTAATTACTATTGGAATCCAACTGATGACTGACGTGATAAGAAATACTTTTTTCCATTGTCATCACGTTGAGTATTCCTGAAAAATGCATATTCCACTGACCCAAAGAATATGTGTGCATGATATCAAATACAAATCTCTCCAGGCAGTGAGATTCGTTGAAGAAGGTAATTAATTTAAGTTGAGATGCAATTTAATTTATTATCTCATCTAGTTTGCTCCAGGCGACGCCGGCCCGGCAGAGAGACACCAAAACATTGGCTGAATTGGATTCCCAATTTGAGCAATAGTTGAATTTTGGTGACTGTTGAAATTATGTTAAATTTGGTTTAGTAGAATTATATTCAGGTACTCTAAAAAAAGAATTATATTCAGGTTTTCAGCATATTTGAGGGATTCTATTAAGCTAACAAATGAAGTGATAAGATCTTGGAAAGATCCAGGTGGGCTTAGAGTGTTGTGTAGTATTTTGAGAAATTTTTCATGATTTTATATAGAGCCATATAATTTTCCCATATCCATTTAAACGCCTGTGAAGCCTATAATGATATGCAATAAAGATCCAAAAATACTAAAAATAAGATATGCACACCCAAAAGTACTTGCCACATTTTATTACCTGATTTTATATTGATCAGTAAATTTCACTTTGGACCACCTTTCATTACTTATGTTTTTCTTTGAACCACATTTTATTTTTGACCGGGTAAATTTGTCTTTTGTTTCACTTAGGATCACCGGACCCTCTTCTCAAGCATGTAAACAATCTTTGAATATGTTGGCTCCTATTCGTCAATAAACTCACACAACTATATGTAAGATCATTTCTCTAGTATATGATAAGTTGGAAGTAGATGGATAAAAGAGTTGAGGGTGGTCTAAATTGCTACAAAGGTAAAAAAAATCCTAGTTCAAAATAAAAACATTGGTTAAAAGGTGATCCAAAATAAAAACATAGTTAATAAAGGGTGGTACAACGTGAAGTTTAGTATGGTACATATATTGTATAATATATAGTACAACGTGAAGAAATCAAGAGCAGCAATCTTGATGCGCAGGTCCGTGTAATTCTTTTTTCTCTTCCTACATATAGTGCTGCCACTCTACTTATTTTGTTTAGAACCATCACTACGCTAGATCAAGTCATTTATGATAGACCTAAACCCTCATCTTTGATGAATTTAGCCCTGGTCAGAAATTTGTGGTTACTGATGACTCCACTCACCTTTGACGGGCGGCGGTCCGTCAAAAGTGACAGTCAGCTCTGACGGACTAGTATTTTTTGACTCGTCAGAGATGAGGGTCTCCATAAATCCAAGGGTGGTTGCAACTCGTTAGAGGTGAGACGTCTTTGACGGGTCCAACGGTGACACGTGCTAGCTAGCAAATACTGCATCTGTTTGCCCTCTTACTTTCATTTATAATAAGCCTGTCAGCACTAACAGAGCATCAACCATCCATAGAACAAAATTGAATCATCACGTACGTACTTTGTTTTAAGACTAAGTTTTACGGCCAACAGATATATTCTTTTATAGCTAGCTTAGTGGACTAATGACTCGTGATTCTTCAATACATGCTACCTCTTATTTCTTTCAGGGGAGAACCTATATAGGTAGTAGTTCTTATCAGACACGATGACCGGGCAACCAGTTAGATGATACTCCCTCCATTTCAAAATGTTTCACACCGTTGACTTTTTAGCACATGTTTGACCGTTCGTCTTATTAAAAAAAATTGTGAAATATGTAAAACTATATGTGTACATGAAAGTATATTTGACAACAAATCAAATGATATGAAAAATATAAACAATTACTTAAATTTTTTGAATAAGACGAATGGTTAAACACGTACTAAAAAGTCAACGGTGTCAAACATTTTGAAACGGAGGGAGTATATATATATGATGGCATCATGGAAATGCTACCACTTGAACTTAATTGTGCACAAGGAACTACTTGATACCAACCATGTAGCTAATGCAAGAGGTTTCTCTGATAAATTAAGTGTTAATATGATGCCTATGGAACAAGCACTTCTTTACTGGATTCAGATCAGATGCAAAGCTACTTTTATCCTCATTAACAAGTTCTAACTCCAGAGAAACCTACCAAAGGTCAGGTGTTCCCTAGTTTGTACAAAGTACTAAAAGTTCAGGAGTACTACACATGCATGGTCATTGGACTGTACTTTGTACTTGTAAGATTGTTACAGTCACACGTTATATTGCACGTATATATATACACACACGTTATATCACTCGTCCAGTGGAAACAAATAGCACAAATTTTGACAGCAATGATGGGACTCTTTTTATTGACAGAAATTTCGGAAAGCAAATTAAATAGCAGACAAACTGATAAAAGGATTAAAAATGTTATGATGCAAAAAAGACGGTAGGTGAAGAACTTTGCATCCCTCACCTATATAATGCATATACTTGAAAGAAGTATATACCACATTTCAAACAAAAAGTAATTAAGACCTTTGGATCTCTTTTCATTAATTATGAACCGGTGAATGTAAGGTATCAGGAATTTGGATCTCTTTTCTCCACGGCTTCATTAAGCATTTTGAGCAATTCGATCTTACCTACATTAAGTTGGTTCAACAAATAGCCATGCAAATGGATCTTATCTCTCTTTGTATCTAGATTTTGTGTGGTTGCATTGTTCCAATTAATCAGGTGTATATAAGAGAACAAACATATTATTTGCTAGCTAGCTCGTGTCGTTAGTACCGTGTAAGCTATATATGAACTCTTTGAATTCCTAGCTGGATGAATGAAAAATATATATAGGACATACCGACATGGGAAACAGAAGGTATCAAGGTAACGGGACACACAGATTAGCTATCAAAAAAGAATTGTTCTTGTGATATTATGAAAGTGTGATCCTTGAGCAGTCAGCAGTGCCTGATCCTGAGTTCCTGACTGAGTGCATGGATTTAAGATTCAAAGTAAAGAACACAAGGCGGCGGCG